TTCCAGATGTTATGTCTGAGCTTTACATACTTTTACATTCACAGGATGAAAAAATAAATCCAGTCTTTTATTTAAACAAGATATAAAAGTTCTGTGTCAGAAGATTTTTTCTGTTACTAATTAGTGTCAATTTTAAAAGTAGCAATAATACAATGTAGAGAAATGTTACCTTTAAAATAACAAGTTATATTTAAGATTTTAGGAAAAGCTAGACAACATCTAGGGATAGATTTTTTCTTCTTTTATCTGACTGAAAAACAAAAGCACTTTTTATGAAGCTGCTAGATAAATAAACTGTATTTCGAAAGACCTGAGGGTTTTTTTTACTTCAGCATTTTGTCTCATGTGTATATTTTATCAAGTAACGGTACTTCCAGAACGTCTTGGTACATCTATATTTTATTTTTTGTTAGTGGAGCAGGTGGGAGCTGGATTACCCGAAGCAAATCTATAGATTTCTTTTTGGCTCAAGTTAGAAGAAAAGCTCTTAACATGATGCAGGTGCAAATGTCATTTTTTCATTACTTTTTAAACCAGTGAAGGATAAATATATTTCACAAAAGCACAGTTTTTGCTACTATTATTATCACTAAAGTGAGCAACGCTTCCAGCATCAAAAATACAAAATCACCCAATGTAGTAGAGGTGATTCATCCACCTGCAGTCAGAGAATTTAATGTCGGATGTGATGTACATATGTATATATTTGATCAATTTGCCTGCAATGATTTTCAAGGATTCACTCCTAGCACATAGAACACTTCAGGTATTTTTAAGACTGTGAAGTGAATATTTAAAAGGAAAATTGCCTGTTTTAATGTTTTCATGACAAGAATGGGCCACAATTCAGGCAAATATTTGCTGGTAAGATTTTATTTTTTATATATCAGTTGGACTCATGGATTTAATGTCTGTTTGTTTCTGTAAATCAGGCTTAATTGAGCTGTAAATGGCCTGTACTTATATAGAGCTTTTTAAAGTGAGAAAACTTGACCAAAGCGCTTGACACAGCATTCGTTCATTCACCCATTCATGCACACACTGATGATAGCAAACTACATTGTAGCCACAGCTGCCCTGGGGCTCACTGACAGAAGCGAAGCTGCCGTACACAGGTGCCACCAGCCCCTCTGACCATCACAAGTAGGCAGTGTGGGTGAAGTGTTTTGCCCAAGGACACAACCACACTGAAACCCGGAACTCGGGCTTGAACCGTCAACCCTTCGATTGCCAGGAAAACTCCTACATCTGTTGCTTTTTTCCTATATGGAAAAATTTAATTATTTTATTCATAAATCACGTCAGACAAAACCTTTTTTAGGCTGCTTGAGTGTACAAGAAAATATTTTATTTAGTTACAGTTAAATATCAGAATATCGATTACGATTAATTGATGTACTTTCTTCCAGTTTAGTACGTTTTGGTAAATGTTTTAGCTTTTGCCTTTTAAACTTGAAATAATGTTGGTATCCTTCCAGAAGCCTATCAGAATAATTTATTGGAACTTTGGCCCATTTCCCCCGACAGAACTGGTGTAACCGCGCCAGGTCTTTGGAACGCCTTGCTCACAGAGGCCTTTCAAATGTTAACTTGTGGCTTTGATATTTTCACAAAATGTTCTTACTTCATATGAATCATTTTTAAAACACATCAGTCCTGTCTTTAACAAACCTTTTGCAAAGCATGATACTGCACCCCCTATACAGTACTTTGCTGATGGGATGATTTTAGTTAAGTTTTATTGGACATGTCTCCAAAAAAGTCTCTTTTTTTCACTAAACTCATTTGAAAGTTGTAATCCTTCTTACTGTATGTTGCTTTCTCTCCAAGGACCATTTTAGTAGCGGTCTTGGCAGGACCCGTTTTGTTATGGATTGTAAGAAGGTTTTAAGTGCTTTAGCAAATGTATTCACACAATGTTTTGCTTTTGTTTGAACCAAAACATTTTTATCAGTGGGGGACACTGAACCATCCTCCTTCCTGAAAGTTATACAGTACAAGCTAGACATTCCCATGCTGTTTATGATTTACTTTATACTGTTTATAACTGTGTATAACGATGATCATAACACCTTCAGGCATCTGGTAACTGAAGCTAAGGATAAATAAGGCTTGTTGGTCTCTGGAATTCTCCCATTGAAATGTCTCGCCTGATGTTCAATGCTGAATTAGTGTGTTTTTCCGTTTTCATCACTCTCATTACTGCCTGTTGAAAGTATAATGAATTTTGCTCAATCAGGGAGACATAAAGCAGCAATATATTTAGTTGTTAATTTCAAATAGTCTTTGGTGTGCATTTTTAAGTAGTGTAAGGCCTATGTTTATTTGCAAATACTTTCAGCCATCAGCTAGAATTTTGGAAGCCCAAATGTACACAAATGAACCCAAGTGATTTTCATTTCCTTTCCTGTATAGCAGCTCCTGGTCTGGGGCTGTTGGGGGTGGGGTTATGTGCTCAGCATTATTGGTGGGCGGTTTCTTGCAGCGAAGCTGCAAAGTGGATTGTGTAAACAGAAGCAACAATGGTAGAGGAGAATGGCATGTATTATAAAAGTAGCTGTGTAAAACTTAAATAACTGCATCATGATAATGCTTAATTCCAACTGGCTCTGATGTTTTCAGAGGTGACTGTCTCCACTGTGCTTACAGCCAAGTAGCCTCACTGGTGGTCAGCTGAATAGGTGTTTTCAGGCTAGCCATACATAAAAAATGCCTGGTTTTAAAATTCTGACTGACTTTTACCCAAAGAGCAGAAGTTTAAATTTACATAATTCGGTCTGGTGACATCTAAGTGTTGGTTTATGTCCATGAATGAATTAACACTAAACAAGTCAGTTTCCATTCAGATTTAAATCACTTGAGTCCTTTTCAATTCAGTTTATTTCTATAGCGTCAATTCACAACACGTCAAGGCATTTTACAGTTTACCAGATCATAAATTCAAATTGATTCAAAGTTTTCTATCTAAAGGCAATCCCTCACTGAGCATGCTTGTAGTGACAGTGGAGAGGAAAAACTCCCTTTTAACAGGAAGAAACCTCCAGCAGAACCAGGCTCAGTATGAGCGGCCATCTGCAGAGGCCGACTGGGGTTCAAGGAGACAGAAGCAGACATAGAAAAAGCAGCTGTAAAAGGCTGCCCCGTCCAGGAAACACACAGCGAGGCAGACGAGCTCCGAGCCAGCTCCCATGTCAGAGGATAAAGAGAGCACATCCAGCCAGTCACAGTCAGAGAAACAGGACTACACTGGAAAAACAGGCCGATCTCCAACATCTATAAATAAAGGTGTTGATGGTAGCAGCACAGCTGATATTTCTCTCCAAGATGGTGTCACAACCAATCAGGAACAGACCAGATCATACTATGAGAAAAAGCAGAGAGAACATAACGTTAGAGATTGAACTAACAGATTCTGCAGAGTGGGAGGATAGAGAGAGAAAGAAGCAGAATGATGAAATAGGGGTCTCTATGTCCTCCAGAAGTCAAAGCCTATAGCAGCATAACTATAGAGATAGCTCAGGATAACCTGAGCAACTCCAACTAAAAGCTTTATTTAAAAGGAAAGTTTTAAGCCTAACCTTAAAAGTAGACAGGGACTAAAACCTCACGGACTAAAACTGGTAGTTGGTTCCACAGGAGAGGAGCCTGATAACTAAAAGATCTGCCTCCCATTCTACTTTTAGAAATTCTAGGAACCACTAGTAAACCTGCAGATTGAGAGCGAAGTGCTCTGTTAGGAACATAGGGAACAATCTTGGGAACAAAAATTGTATTCTTGATTCAACAAGAAGCCAATAAAGAGAAGCCAGGATAGGATAAATATGATCTCTCTTTTTAATTTTCATCAGAACTCTGGCTGCAGCATTTTGGATCACCTGAAGGCCTTTAACTACAGTTTGTGGACTTCCTGATAGTAAAGAATTACAATGGTCCAGCCTTGAAGTAACAAATGCATGGACCAGTTTCTCAGCATCACCCCTGGACAGGATATTTCTAATTTTTGCAATATTGCGCAGATGAAAGAAGGAAATTCTAGAAACCTCTTTGATATGGGATTTAAATGACAGGATCTGATCAAAAACAACATCAACATTTTTTACTTTATTATCTGAAATCAGTTTAATCCCATCCCAATGGGATTAGGTCCCAAGACTATAACTTCTGTATTGTCTGCATTCAGAAGGACAAAATTAAGAGTCATTCAGGTTTTTATGTCTTCGAGACATGCCTGTAATCTATGTAATGAGTTAGCTTCATCTAGATTTATAGACAGATATAGCTGGGTATCATCCGCATAACAGTGGAAATTAATCCCATGCTTTCTTATAACTCTACCGATTGGGAGCATGTATAAGATAAACAGAATTGGTCCTAGCATCGATCCCTGTGGTACTCCACAGGTAACCTTAGAGCATGAGGAAGATTTGTCATTAACGTGACCAAACTAAAATTGATCAGATAAATAAGATTTAAACCAGTCTAGTTCCTGCTGTTCCTTTAATTCCTGCAAAATATTCAACTCTTTCTAAAAGAATATTATGATCAACTGTATCAAATGCAGCACTGAGTTATTTTTTTTTTTACTTTTTTTTTTTTTTACTTCTTTCCATGGAAATGACTAATTTCCCTATCATAAGCAAATTCTAGTAATGACAATACAACTGTTGGAGTTCCTCAGAAACGTTGCGCTTTAGCTATGGATGCATTTGTTTCTTATTTCTGCAGTTTTCTTCACCCAACATATTGTTTGTTTGATATAAAGATCATTTCCAGCACTTCAGAGCAGCGGAGAACAGAAAGCAAAAAAAAAAAAAAAAAAAAAAGCTGGTATTCTTTTACCTGAAAAAAACAAAACAAAAAACTGATCTTTAATTCCCGGGACTTTCAATGGAAAATGGGCATATGCTTTGCTTTTCACTATTTGTACAGTGTTCTATTTCAGTGGGAAAACACAAGAATAAATATTTAATTGTCTTTTTTTTATTGTCCTCTGTCTACAGCCTGTCCATCAGGTTTTTTCAAGCCAACTCAAGGAGATGAGTCCTGTATGCAGTGTCCAATCAACAGCCGTACCACGAGTGAGGGTGCCATCAACTGCATTTGCCGTAATGGATACTATCGTACTGACTCCGATCCACTCCAGATGCCATGCACAAGTATGTATACATCTGCATTTGTTTTATAGTTTTTTTTAACATTGAAGTCACCTGACAAAGATTCAAGACTGGGGGCGATTCTTTAGCGTCAAATATGAACTCTTTGGCAGGCACATTTCTTAGCCAGAAGTAGAAGTTTCTTGGGTCAAAAGGATGATAAAGGTCTGCTTGGCTTTAAGCAGAGAAATCCTGTCAAAGCTGCCCCTCACTTAAACATAATGCTGACATGCTCAAAGTCTGGCTGTCCACAGATCTGACCTAACAGACAAGGCTCGGCTGCCCTCCCTCAACATCACACAGTCTCCGCTCCAATGCAGACTGGAGGTTAGCGGGCCAGGGCGCATTTCTTTATACAGGGTCAGTCTCAGAGAATGAACCGGGGTGAAGCCTTCCCTTGTGATGCCAATGAAGCCCATTGAATTAGAATTTGAATTTGAGGCTGACGCTGACACGAGGAAAGAGAGGGCTAGATGGATGGAAAAAGAGAAGCAAAAATGATCGCGGGAGAAGTTCAGGATAAAAGAGGAAATCGCTTTTACTTGAAAAGAAAACAGGTTTGAACAGGAGAACTAGTGCTGAGTAAAACAAAATCGAACAGTATTAAAAAAATTATCACCTATAAATACTTCCTCAGCCTGTTGAAAAGGAAGAGGGGGGAAAAGATTTGATGGTCTCCAACAATGGAGATTTGCATAAGCTTCGGTCTTGGAGTTGAGCAGCTGTTGTGAATGAGAAAGCAGCAGCGTCACGTCAGCCGTATTAAACGCAGCGGGTCTGGTCTGATTAAAGCAAGAAAACAGGCCCATCAGAGAGGCCCGCTGGCTAATGGGAGGGATATTAGTCCTCCTCCCTTCGAAGGACATGCCAAAGAGGAGTTGTGTTTCAGAAAGACTCCAGGAAGGGCACTCCGACGGGCTTTCTTCCACTATGGGAGATCTTTTAATTGCTGCCAATTAAAAAGAGGTTAAGTAAAAAGTGATCGATTCAAATTTAGGATGTTGTGGGCGGAGTGGAGCTGTTTATCTCGTTAGTCCTGGAGGATAGCTCTACCATAATTAGGTGCATATGGCCGTAAAAGATAAACAGTTTTCTTTGTTTATTTGTTTGGCCTGCCACTCGACATCCAGCACCATGAGGAAAGTTTCCTCTCTACTGTCTGAATAAACAAATAATATAATATCTAATAATAAATAGGTTTCTCTTAGTGGCCATTCTGCCCTTCATTAGAAAATTGTTAAAAGAAAATGTTAAGAAAGCACTTGATAAAGTGGAGATCAGTTTTGAAAATGAGAGTGCAAATGGGCTCCTCAAGGGAAAAGGCACTGCATGCCTGGAATGCAGTCAACTCAAAGAGCCTATACAGACAAGCTTGAGGAATTTCTCTCCTCCTTGTAGGGGGGTTGTGTAAGTAGAGATAGCAATTATGCCCTTCACTTTGTCAATGGCACAACACATCATCCATCAAGAGCATATACTAGTTACTGTCCAGAAGTTGTGCTTATGTGAACTACAATTGGATTTGTTAAACTGGTTTTTATGACTTTATTTTAAATCTCAGCAAATTATTTACTTTACACCCCCGTGTGTTTTTGGGGTCAAATAAGAACAATGAATGGACACTTGACACACAGTTAAAGCTGCCCATAAATGTCCAATGTTTAAGAAAGTACTAGATTAGAACAGCAACATTAATGGGTCATAGTAAATCATATTGACTTGTGCAGATTTTTTGGGGGGGATAATACTATTACATGGGGATTTAAAATGAAATTAAAATGCATGCTGTATAGTGCCTTAAGAAAGTATTCACACACAATTTCTTAAAATTTATAACGTGTATTTTATTGTGCAATTATCTGGTGATGCAACTCAGGGTAGCTCTAAGGGAGCTGCAGAGATCTATGACTCAGGTAGGAGAATCTGAACAATTGCTAATTATGAACTAAATAAAAAGGTCTAAATTCTAGATCTACTGATCTACTGCGCTGTAACTTTTATGTAAATCGCTGCTCATTAAAGTAGCAGGGCAGTACATCCATGTTCTAGGAACTCTGTTTAGTAGAGATAGTGAAGTAGATCAGAGTTTTTAGGAAGGTTGATAGAGTCAAATGCAGGAAGAAGTACCCCCGAAGAAATTGGCATTCAGACCTAAATTTAACAGAGACTTTTTGGTATAAATTGAATATTGGTTTTAAAAATAATTACCACTCAGCCTGAATGTTAGAGAGTGTATTTCAATCTTTTCCAGTTTATTTAAATAGCACCAACTCACAACACCTATTTATCAACGCATAAACAGAAAAAAAAAACTCTAACTAATTATGTGGACAGATTACAAGTCAACTGTATGCTTTGCAATTGAGCCTAGTTTTTATTTATTTATTTATTTATTTATTTATTTATTTATTTATTTATTTATTTATTTATTTATTTATTTAATCAGGACAGAGAACATTAACGAACAATCTTATACTTCTGTACAGATTGTAAATGAGCCAGACTATAGCATAGTTGCTAATTTACATCTGTCGTCCTGAGGCAGGAAGACAAAACAACACAAGATCACATAATACAATCTCAGTCAAAACACATAGACACACGTTCAGACAATGACATTACAACAATAAAATTAGTGAGTGTATGAGTGGGAACTTTTAAGAAACTGTTTAAGGTGCTTTTTAAATGTGCAATAAGTGGGACATTCCCTGATGTTTTTTGGGAGGCTGTTCAAGAAGTGACCCCCTCTGACTGATAGAACAGTTTGTCCAAAGTATGCAATGTGTTGTAGTTAGGTAGTCAAATTGGTTATAAAGTCACTGACATGCAGCATTTGCTCCTCCTGAAAGAGCACGCAGTAACAGTGGAAAGAAAACTTAAACAAAGAGATACCTCCAGTAGAACCAAGTTCAGTGTAAACGGTCATTTCCCACAGCACACTCAGGGTTTGAGAGAAAGATTTAAACTCAAAAGAACATTGAAGGACTGTTTTAGAATAGCTTTCTTTGGGAAAGAGAAGTTTAAAAAGGTAATGGCAGTTCAAGCTCCTTTAGTGTCTTTTCATGAAGAGAAACACATATAGGCAGATAAGATCTGAGAAGGTTTTTAAGACCAGGGGATAAAAGAGAACTCTTACAATAAGTTGCAGTAAAGGCTCAGCAAGTAGCTATGTATAAAAGAGAGGCAACCTCAACCAATGAAAGACAGGGCCGAGTGTATCATCTGTAGAATAAGAATACACTTGGCCCTCTGGGTTGTACTGCTGCCAAAAACTCCATATTCCGCCTCTATAGATGATACACTTGGCCCCGCCCAATATTGGTTAACACTGTAGGGTGTCATAGGAGGATGTCACATCTAAACAAAACACCAGGCCTGATGCAGCCTCTACGAAGAGTAAAAAAAAAAAAACAGAAAATAAAAAGCCAGAAAAACATAAATAATACAAAACTTAATACCAGTAAAAGTTTTGTAACTTCCCCATCCCAGATTATCAGGGAGATAATCCAGCTTTGTTTGATCTGCACCAAAGGGCATTTTTTTTTCTAACCCGTATCTATCTGCCTCCACAAAAGCTCAGAACCAGGACCTGACCTGTTTTACCTACAATTTATATCATTTAAAACAATTTAAAACCCCACCTGGACGCAGCCCATGTCTTCACACAGCAGATTTATTTCATTAAGAGCTTTTAGTTACAAGGTGCTTTGCTTTTCTAGCTTCAGCTAAATACTGTATTAATGACATAGGCACAAATACATTGTCTGATGCTCATATGCCAGTGAGCACTGCGCTCAGTTGAGCAGCGATAAACAAGTCAAATTCAGGGCCTTTTTTCTCTCTAACACAAATACACACTGACACCAGCATCCATTAAATTAAACAGACTGTATAAGAATAAAATTCAGACCTGAGAGAGCACTACATAATTATTTCAAGAGCTTTTACCTTAGGTACTAAAAATACCTCAGAGCTCAAGTGAGCTTATTCAAATGTCACTGTTTATTTTAATAACTGTTGTGTTTACTCACTGATATTCAGGAAATGCTCTAAAGTCTGAGGTGCAGTAATAGAATATCATCCACAGTCACTAGTTCTATTAAGTGGCATTCTCCTTTATTTAATCACAAAGCTTAAATAAATTGGCTCACTAAGATGTAGGCTTAACAAAAATGAAATAAAAATAACTTCAGTTGATGTCATAACTGTAAATCGCAACATGCCCAATTTTTTCTTAATTCATACCTGTGCCCATACCTGTGAAATAGTGCAGTTTTATTCTTCTACCCTTAACTGAGCATTTACTTCAGTAACCTGCTGTTTCCAACTAGTGCAGAAATCTAATTTGCACACAGACCTGTTAGTTGCTGGAAAAGTACAAACTTGATAATACATTAAGAGTTTTTATATAATTACGTACTATAGGTACTGTATGTACCTCAAGGGATTAGGCATGATGTTCAATCTGACTCCTAATTGTTCTGGGTGAAATTGGCCTGTTGGTCTGTTGTGCTTATCGTCTGGCTAGAGAGTACGACAAAAAGGGTTTTAACCTCAATTTTTATTTTATTTTTTTTTTTATGTGTGGGGTCTCATAAGTTTTGAAAAACACTCGATAATTTTACAAACTTTGAGTGTAAGCAAGCCTCAAGATGGAGAAATTAAATTCTATTCTGGAATTAATCAGGAGCAATAAAAGGAAGAAAAATAGGTGAAACATTTTGTCATTTTATCAGAATTTCGAAACATATTCCTTACTAATGGCAATTGCTATTGGAGCAAAATTTGGTGAGCTACAATCAAAGACAACAGAATAGAAATGTATACAACACTTTTTAGATTTTTTTTTTCACACATGAATATGTAATGTTCATTTTACTTAATAACCATGTCTATGCTATGCTTTTTTTTTTTTTTTTTAAATAAAACCCTTTTTCTGGCAGAATCCCAGAATACAAGAGCTATTCTAAACATTTACGTCTGTATGCAACTATTTCATCAAAGGGTTTTCCTGCTTTAACATTTGTCCGTTTACATTACTAAATGCTGAAACTATAAATCTGTCTTGCTTTTCAGCTGTTCCCTCAGCTCCACAGGCTGTGATCTCAAGTGTGAATGAAACCTCTGTGATGCTGGAGTGGATGCCACCCCGAGATTCCGGAGGCCGTGAGGACGTAGTCTTCAACATCATCTGCAAGAGCTGTGGCGGAGGTCGTGGAGGGTGCACCCGCTGCGGGGACAATGTTCAATTTTTACCTCGTCAGCTCGGCCTGACAGAAACCCGGGTGTACATTAGTGACCTGTTGGCCCACACGCAGTACACGTTTGAGGTGCAAGCTGTCAACGGGGTGTCAGATCAGAGCCCCTACTCTCCTCAGTATGCCTCAGTAAACATTACCACTAACCAGGCTGGTAAGTGGGTCCATCTGTCTTCTTCAGCACTTTGCATTCGCCATGTGGTTTTCTCTTCTTTTCTTCTTTCCTCTCTTGTTCTGTAAGTCTCCTGTTCCTTATGCCCTGTACAATTTTCATCACACTTTTTTCTTCAAAAGCACATTATGTGTTATGCAAAGTCTGCCTCTTTCCTCTTTTCTATGGTGATGTATGTAGATTAAGAGCTATGAAATGGGAAACAGAGCACCGCTGATGATGTGACAGACAGAATGTGATGGCCTGTTGGTCTTTAATGTGTGACCTCATCTACGTATTTCAAATTCTAGAGCAGAGAGGCAGCTTGCTGCTGTCTACCTGCTCGATACTGTTAAGTAACTACAACTTCATACAAGCACTTTGCTGAGGAGGAAGATATAATAAGATATCATTGTAGAGTTTGTATTATATAGCTAAAAAAAAACTTCCAAAAGGAAGAATCCAGTTTTTAATATGAAGATTTACAGAAATGTGGTTTTGTTTAAAGGGTTAGCCTCTTTAAGATGCAGAAGATAATCCTTAAGATATGTGTTGCAGATGAAGGTATAATCCTTTATTGAACATGGCAGTTGTCATTTTCTTTTTAAGCATCTTCATGAAAAATATCATATGGTGTGCAAAGCTTTCCTTCTTAGAAAACTAATGTACTGACAGATGCCATTCGACTTTGATTTGTGTTTAGTTTGTGTTTCTAAAGGCTGACTCATACTTTGAAACAAGGTCGTCTGCATATGTGTCCAAGTGAACACAGAGACGTTCCCACACCTTCCGCAGACACTCTGCTGCACCTCGCCCAAATTGTAGGTGACCGCAGACAAGAGGCCTCTGATTGAGCAAATCTACATGCGCTCTCCACTATGCGTATCTCCTTTTTGGTACCTTACCTGCTTGTTTTGTTTGTATGACCGCCATTGCGGAAAACTACTTGTGAAGTTGAACCAGCTAGAAGAGCGAGGTGTGTGAGAACGCTGGGACCCTTTTTCTCCCCGCTCTTTTTGTCCCTCCGTTGTCGGACAAACTTGCCCCCACTTCCTCACCACCTCGGCCGTATCTAGACCCACAGCTACTTCGTGATTGTCACTCTTGCGTTGCAGCGTGGAATAACATAGCGCAGACCACCCTTCAAAATTGACCATAAATCATAAATGTCTGCGTCATACCTGCAACAAGCTCACTGCGACACACTGCTGCGGAAGTATAACCAGCCCATCAATCCATCCATTTTCTTACACGCTTATTCCCCAAGGGGGTGGCGAGGGGTGCTGGTGCCTATCTCCAGCTGTCTACGGGTGAGAGGTGGGGTACACCCTGGACAGGTCGCCAGTGCGTATAACCAGCTCTTGAAGTGAAATACTGTCCTAAAAGTGTTGATTGTTCTTCATCCACCATGCCCTAACAGAGATATTTTCCATGCCATCCATCCATCCATTTTCTTCCCCTTATTCCCTCGGGTCGAGGTGGGTGCGATGCCAATCTCCGACAGTCTACAGGCGAAAGGCAGGGTCAAACTGTATAGGTCACCAGTCATTCACAAGGCAACAAATAGATATGCAACCATACACACTCACCTAAGGCAATTTAGTGATGCCAGTTAACCTAACAGTCATATTTTTGGACTGTGAGAAGAAGCCAGAGTACCAGAGAGAGCTCATGCATGTATGGGGAACATGTAAACTCCATACAGGAAAAAACCCCGGGCTAGGAATCGAACCCAGAACCTTCTTGCTTCAAGGAAACAGTGCTACATACCACTCCGCTGTACAGCCCCTTGTCCATTCCAATGCAGACTAAGGCCGTTTCTTAATATGTGTACTTGTGCATTCTCATGTGCTTGTGTACTTGTGAAACTTCAACAGCCTCAGCCCTAGTACTGTTCCAATTCACAAGAACAGCAGACCGAGAACGGACAAATCCCCTGATGTTTTTCTCGCCCCTCTCTATTTACCGAGTATGCATCAGAGCAGACTTGTTAGTTCCCAAGATTGACAGCTGTTCCAGCATGCACCAGCTTCCAATGGAGCGCTCTAAGAGCTCAGAGTATTAAGTTAAAAGTTCTCTCTTCTGTTGCTGTTGTTCACTAAAAGTACGTTTTAAGATCATATGAGGCGAGAACATTATACTTTTAAACGTCACTATATGGCCCTTTTACCAATTTAATGCATATTAAAAAAAAATAAGGTTGAGAAGACCATAGCAACCAGCGGCCCTCCGAGGGTAACAGCAGCCAGGTCTAATCCCAGCCCGTCTGCAGCAGCCCCCTCTCGGCATAGTGTGAAGTACCGCTGGTATGAAGTACAGATTTTTTTGTTTTATTTGGCAAAATGTCTATTTGATTTGTGTTTATCTGACTGTGTTCATTATATTCCCCCAATAAATGAAAGTAAGAATTTATTATTATCTAGTGACCATTAATAACAGGAGGTGTTCCAATTGACCCATATTTATGCTGCGTGGTCCCTTTCTCCCCAAGTCCATACTTTAATGTGTCCTTCTCAAGAACATACTTGGCGATGACACAAGTCTGTACTCACATTCTTGTGAATTGAGAAACGGCCTGACTGTACACATGTTAATTTGATTGGATTCTGTTTCCTGCATCTTTTATCTTTATCTTTGGTTAAGGATTTAACAGTTTACCATCTACACACTTGGTGCACCTTGCCTTAACTGGGTTCCCCATGCGTAAATGTTAATGGAAAGGGTTCAGGTAGGGTGATTAAAACAGTACTCTGTTGTAATAAGAGTATAAATTGTGCTACATCAGTATCAATATGCCCTAACCTGTTACTAAGACCACTCCTTGTCCAACTAGGAGATGTCTTTGGATGTTAATCCCAGGGAATTAGCGTTTACCTAATGACATTTAGCAACTAACCTTCACCCTCTCCAGGTTCCCCAAGTACTTGGAATTACTACCATCTGATTCGCTGATCACTATTGGTGTGAGCAAGTATTTCTTATGTGTACTTAATAAAGTGACAATTATTGAGTGTACTTTCAGTATATCTATTGTCTTTCCACAGGCACCTTCGCTAGTCTCTTTTTGCTAAATGTGCAGTGATTTGAATTAATTTGACCTGGCTTTATCTAGTTTAATATAGTTTTTTATTTTAGTATCAATATTCCAATACAATTAAAATAACAGAAACATTGCTATGGTTAAAAAATATAATTCTAAATAAACTGTTTTGACATTTTATTTGATTTAAGGACATTTATTGGAAATGAAAGTTCCACATTTTCTTCATTGTTGTAAAAGTCAATGTTTATTAAAGGCTGGATGTTTAAAAATGCCATAACGTAGTTGGTTACAATGCTGCGGCTCAAATGGAACCTTTCATTCATGCACTGACCCTCTTTTTATTGTCTGTTTTGATTTGAGTCACTGGTGTGGTGGGTTAATGAGGGCCTGTGAGTGCAGTTAAGCGTTGTAATGAGGCCCCATGCCCCACTCCAGCTCACTGGGCCACAATAAGTCTGCCACCCCAACCCTTGGCTTCTCTGCTGCTCCTGCTGAGGGGACCTGGCGGAAATTGGGGGGCTCTGCGCCCTCTCCACTGAAGTGCCCGTCACTTCGTATTAGACAGCAATAGTTCCCGTCAGAGCGAGCTGTGAAAAGAACTCAACTCTTGCTCGCCCCCACTCAGTGTTCCCACCTCCCCCATCACCCTTTACTGTGCTAACTCTTTGGACAGGATCGCAGCTTTGCAAAGCTAAAAACTTACAGGACTGGGGTCATGGGGACCAGGAGCCAATAATTGTTTCTGGGCTGTGAGGCTTGGGGGTTACATAAACATTATGTCATCCCTAATTACCTCTGGCAGTTCTGTGCTTCTCTGTTTTAGTGAGAATGAGCTCGACGTGCAGACAAACAAACAAAAAATTAGAGATTCTACACATTTTTCTAAATCAGTTAATCAGTTTTCCATTAGTTTATAAATACAATTTGGGTGAGCATTATAGAAATATCAAAAATCTTTTTTATAATAATCTTAGCATTGAGTGTTGAATATAAAGGATAAGGATGATTAACACCTTATCTTTTCTGTCCAGTCATGCACTCTCTGCACTCATTCATCTTCAGACTCAGGCACCATCACTGTGGGTGGTTGGTGACGGTGTCTCTGTAATGAAGGACATAATTTTCTCTAAAATACACTGCTTGATTATACGCATTAATGTCACGCAAAGCCAATTCTGCCCCTGAAGGTGTTTACATATTTTCCATAAGCATATGACAAATTCTTTAAAACTTTATCGTTGTACTCGGCAGAGTTTTGAAATATGTCTCTAACCATTTATTGAAGTATGACTCACAGTTTGCTCATCCATGTCTGCAGTGCTATGTTTATAAAATGCTGCTCTGTTTGTGATGATAAACTAGCTTCAGGAGTATGACAAAGTTTGAGGTGTCTGTCTTTTTAGGTATTAATGGGAAGCTAACTATCCTTGACATGTGAATGCAGTGATCAAGCCTAGTCTCTCATGCAAAATGTGGAGTAGTATATGGTATATATATATATATATATATAGTATAACTTTACACGACAAAGAAAATTGATATAAATCTTTTATTCCAGTTTTATTTTACGACCACTGTCTTTGATTTGACATGCTCATGTAGTTTTGGAAGATTATTATTTTATTATTTATTTATTATCTATTTATTTTCACAAATCAAACTAGAAACTGAGAATACATCAATAAAAGCGTCACAGAAACCACATAGGGCTTATACCAAATGCCACACCCCTAGAACAAAAAAACTTCAGGCAGCTCACAATATGAAAGACATTTCACTTGAGAGAGAAAACAGAAAAGACATGTACAATAAAAAATGTTTACATTTTATTTCTCAGATTTCAGGAAGTCAATATTTGTAAAAAAAAAAAAAAACATACACCGCTGTCTTTTTTGGATAACAGTATTTTTTTTCAAAGACTTTCTGCCATGTATCTGAAGATTCAAAATATTTTCTATAT